ATATAAAAGGACCTTTACCAATGACGAAACAAGGCAACAGATATATTATTGTTGCTATGGATTATTTAACAAAATGGCCAGAAGCAAGAGTCCTAAAGGATATAAAAGCTACTACTGTTGCTGACTTTATTTATGAAGATATTGTTTGTCGACATGGAGCACCTACTATATTACTCTCTGATAGAGGAACAAATTTCATGAGTACTGTAGTTGAAGAATTGTGCAAGAAACTGCAAATAAAACATCATAAATCTTCTGCTTACCATCCACAAACAAATGGTATGATAGAAAGATTTAATCGAACAATTGGTGAAGCATTGGCAAAAATAACAAGTTATCAATATAAAAAGTGGGATGAAATCCTTCCCTCTGTACTATTAGCTTATAGAACCATGAAGCATAGAACTACAAAATTTACTCCATTCTCATTGATATATGGACATGAAGCCAAACTACCAATTGAAACCATCATAGAAACTTATTACGAGGAAGATATGTTATTTCAAGAAGCTTTATTAAAAAGAATATTTGAAATAGAAGATGTTTTATTAAAACAACAAGATGAAGCCCAAGGAAATATTAAAGAAGCACAAAAACAACAAAAAGAACAATATGACAAACATATTAAAAGCAACAAACTAAAAATTGGAGATAAAGTACTAGTAGCAAGGTCTAATCTTAAAAATGTATTTTCAGCAAAATTAGAGGAACAATTTATGGGACCATATATAATTCACGATATTTTGAATTATGGAGTTTATAAATTACGAACATTTTCTGGCAGAAAAGTAAAAGATCCAGTTCATGGGAATCGATTAAAACTTTATAATGATAGAAAAATAGAAGACCTTCTTGTATCTCAAATAATAATTACACAAAAAAATCATTAGTATATCACAGTGTTCATCGTATTACTTTAATTTTTATAAATATATCCTTTGTTCTCATTTATGCTCCATTATTTTAAAATTCCTTAAAATTTAAATTTCTAAAAATAATCACAAAAATTTTTAAATTTATTATTCTATTTATATATTTATAACATCTATTTTTACTATTTTACTTTATTATCTTATTATATTTTATTTTATTTTATTTTATTTATTAAAATGGAAGCATTATTAAACAACGGCTTTTCACTAGAAGCATTACAAGGACTTGGACAATTTTTAACTGAATGGAAAAATAACCCGACCCAAGAAAAATTATTACAAATAATTCAAGATCAATTAACTTTAAAGATTAATGAAACTGAAATAGTAGGAACTTCAACTGAAGAATTTGTTAACCAAATTCCTACAAGTTTTGTTAACAATAAGTTACTCTTCGAAGAATTTATTAATGACCAAGCCTGGGATGAAGTTTTACCCGAAGACCTTTTGGATACTAACCAAGAACAACCATTAGACCATGACCAAAGTATTAAAGAAAAAAGGAAAAATAAAAAGATATTAATTGTTGACCAAATTATTGAAGAATTAAAAATCGAATGTGAAGCAAGTGAAGAAAGAAGCTCACCATTTGGGAATGAAAATAACTTATCAACTGTGACCAGAATTATAAACCAAATTCATCGCATTGGAAAACAGAAGGGATACCGAGCACAGATAGATCGTTTAGAAGCAGCATTCTATCTGGGAAAATTAAAGAAGGACAATGAACAAATCAGTGGCCAAATTAAAAGAAAGTTAAAAACAGAACTTGGAGAACAAAAAGCGAAAAGAATACAAAAACAAGCAACTAGGACCTATCTCTTATACTCCAAATATAGACTAGAAAAGCTCTACAGAACAACAAAAGTTAATACGACAGTATTAGAAGAATTAACACCAGACCAATTCAATCAACTAGTCCAATAGAAACAAAAGAAATAACAAAAGTTAAAGAATAAATTTTATTCATTTGGCACAGAGATACTATCAATTAAATCTCGCAAGTTTTCTATTTCAGCTCTTAAAACACTCCGTTCCGTCACCAAATTCGCATATTGAATATTCCTTTCCCAGTTCCCTGCCTGAACTGCTCCAATACAAAAGGTAGCAGACTCAACTTCATATTCCAAATCTTCTACCTGCCCTTCTAAATCAGTCACGTCGCTTCATAAAACTGCCACTTCACTTCTCAATGCCATCACTTGTGCACGCAACGACCTAACTTCTCTAGCTAATCTAATTAATCATTATATTAATACTATTATTATTATTATCTTATTATTATTATTATTATTTATTATTTTATTATTATTTTGAATTACCTTTGGTTCTCATTTTGAAGCAAGGTAATTGCTTCATACAAGGCATTTTGGCCGCCGTTTCTTCGTTGTCATCTAAGGATGCGATAATTTTGAGGCATTTTCTATTCTATTATTATTATTATTCTTACTCTTATTATTCATATTATTATTATATCGTACTTTTATATTATAATTATTATTATTATTACCTGTGCTCTTTGAAGTTTTTATTGATAAAAAGTTTTAAATTCTACTTTTACGCCTTGAATTACACAAATTTATACCTCTGACAATTATTATCTAAATATAGTAATTGTAACAATCAAAAATAGAACAATTAAAAATTTTCATATATTATCAATTGTAGCAGAGTGGTAATGATCTGCAACTGTTGCCAGCAGTTGTAAGTTCGATACCCGCTGATGGACTTGCAAACTCTGCCGACGGGTCACGATTGCAGCATCTGCACTACAATAGCTCTTTTATAATTTTTGAATTTTTAATTTTGCGGAGCAAAATTTTTCAAGGAGGGAATAGTGTTATATTAGTAGATTTTATTAGCATATTTTATAAGATTTTATTAGTATATTTTATTAGTATAATTTGTATTTATTATATGTTTATTTTTAGCTTTAGTTTATTAGTCAAATTTTCGACAAATAGTAGTAATTTTAGTATAATATTAGGTACGTTAACAGATACGTTAACTGGTACATTAACAGATATGTTAACAGGTACGTTAACTGGTACGTTAACTGGCTCGTTAACTGGGTCGTTAACTGGGTCGTTAACTAGGTTGTTAACTGGGTCGTTTACTAATAGTCCAAAAGATATAAAAACCCTGCCTTTTTCTCCAAGGCAGAGCAGACTGTCTCCTCCTCACTTTTATTTCCTTGTTAATTACAATCTATCTTTTTAGAAGTGTAGCCATTGCCTACCTTCTTTTTATTGTATTTAATAAAGCTTCTATTGTGTTTTTATTGTGTATTTAAAGTTGAGCCATCGCCTCTTCTTTCTTCTTTGAGTATTT